GTCCCGGCTGGCCGCAGCGGAAGCACGAGCCCCGAAACCCACGACAATTGGCCGTGGGCGGGGGGGCCCGCTTGGGTAAGAACGGCATCGGCCCGTTGTTTCCGCCGCGGATGACACGAGCGTATGCACTTGCCGCGCGGTCCATTGCAGCCATATCCGCAACCGCCTGCTTGAAGGGTCGAGAGGTCAGCAGGGTCTTCTGCTGGTACAGTTTGAAGCGTTTCGCCATGCGGAAGTCGGAAGCGTCCTCCACTTGAAGCACCTCGAAACGCCCCGAGATGAGGTTGAGCGCATGTGAGATGAGTTCGAGTCCGCCCGCCGAGTCGCCTCGCTGCGCCTTGTATTCCGCGAGCAGCAGGTATGCACGCAAGTCCTCCAGCAGCTCCGCTTGCTCTCGCACGGAGTCGTTGACGAAAGTTGCCGCCGAAAAGGTGAGGTTAGAAGAAGGGAGGGGGGGGAGGTTTTCCGTGCTAATAAAATTAGCAGTATTGACTGGAGCCTCACCGGCTTCAACTTCAGAGTCGTCGGTGTCGTTGTCGACCGCCGGAGCAGGGGGAGCGGCTGTCGCTGCGTCGTTGTCATGCCGGTTCGTACGTGTTCCTCGCGTGCCTTTTTCCTTTTTCGCGTTTTCTTTTTTAGCCGACGCAGATGCAGCGGGTAGTGCAGTTTCCGCGGCTGTAACGCTGACGGGCTGCTGCTGTAGAAGGGATAGCAGCGCGTTGACCTGGTCCGGGGTCAACGCCTGCGTCAGTGCAGGGGCGGTCGTCGCGTCAGACGAGGAGACCGCAGTCCGCCTCCTCTGGCGCTGACGCGACGGTCCAGCCGCGGGTGCTGGCGTGTGCTCGGCGTCAGGTGCGTGTGCCGCGCCAGCTGCCGTCGCCACTTGCGCCGCAGGTGCCACTGGCGCCACTGGCGCCACAGGGGCCGAAGGGTGCTGCTGGGCGTCGGCACTTTTGTTGACCTCGAGCCCGCCCAGCAGCACGTCGACTGCAGTCGGGGCGGGCGGTCCATCTTCTGCCCGGCACTTGTTACGGCGGTCGCCCGCAAAATCGCGGGTGTTACGGTCGGAGTCGGAAGCGGGGTTGGACGAGTTCCCGTTGTTAAGTATCGTCGTCGGTGCCATCGTTGAGCGATTGAAGTTAAAAATGTCGCTAATTAAAGTCGAGGGTGACTCGCCTCTAGGAAGCGATTTTGTTCTAGCCAGCTTGGAAGGAGAGAAAGAGTACGTGAGCAGAAATGTGACAAAATACTAGCGTGAGTTTGGCTTAGGAGCCATAGTTTAGGAGCCTTGGTAGTTGAGTTCGAGTTTAGGAAAAGTATCGAGAGGTTTGGAAGGAGAGGAATGGGGTTTCACTAGCAAGAGTTGGGATACAAGTACAACACCCTAAATTGGGTTGTACTCATTACAGAGTACCCCACTGCAGGCTAGACAGCAAATACATTTTGACACACCCCCATAGCCAAAGTGGGGTGTAATCAGCACAATGAGCAAGCATAGAGCAAGAGTTCACAATAGGTAAGTAAGGCTAGAGCTAATCACAGAGGGCAAGTGAGGAGGAGGAGAGACTGTGGGGGAGAGAAGATGGGAGGCGACTGCTGATGCTGCAGACACACAGACGAGCTGCTGGCTCAGTGGCTACCGGAACAGCGCTCCGGACTACTGGGGTAACTGGCCCCGCGGCTAAAAGTAGCGGCAGACGAGCAACGGACCCACGGGCGACTGGCGACTACCGGAGATTGTAGCCTCCGGACTGCTGCTGCTGCTGACGACAAGACTGCTGCCTCCACTCGACCTCCCCAGCTGCCTAACGCCCTTCTCACACACCCCCTGCTCAAACCCTAGCCGTACACCCACAGCACCCCCTTAAACCCTAAACCCCAGACTCCCACACATCCACCCCCCTCAGCGAGAGCTGCAGCAGTGGGAGACGAAGGAGGAGGAGGAGGAGGGAACGGCACGCACAACCGACACCCCCACAACCATCACCCCCACACCCACCCCCCCACGGCTGCACCGGGTCCAGGAGCGGCTGCTGCAGGGGCCAGGGGCGGCTGCTGCTGGGGCGGCTGCTTTAGGGGCTGCTGCTGCTGGGGCGGCTGCTCCAGGGGCTGCTGCTGCTGAGGCGGCTGCTCCAGGGGCTGCTGCTGCTGGGGCTGATGCTGCTGGGGCGGCTGCTCCAGGTGCTGCTGCTGCTGGGGCGGCTGCTCCAGGGGCTGCTGCTGCTGGGGCGGCTGCTGCTGGGGCGGCTGCTCCAGGGGCTGCTGCTGCTGGGGCGGCTGCTCCAGGGGCTGCTGCTGCTGGGGCGGCTGCTCCAGAGGCTGCTGCTGCTGGGGCGGCTGCTCCAGGGGCTGCTACTGCTGGGGCGGCTGCTTCAGGGGCTGCGGCTGCTGGGGCGGCCGCTGCAGTGGCGGCGGCTCCAGGGGTTGCTGCTGCTGGGGCGGCTGCTCCAGGGGCTGCTGCTGTTGCAAGGCAGGCCGCTCCAGGGGCGGCTGCTTCAGGGGCGGCGGCTCCAGGGGCGGCTGCTGCAGCGGAAAGTAGGAGGGAGGGGAGGGGAAGGGCGCGGCCCCCATTGTGCCCTGACGGGCGATGTGCTAGGGAGCCGCGCAGGTCCCCAAAAGTGCCTCGACTGGCAACGAGAGGGGACCGCGCGCAGGCCCCTAAGGCGCCGCGACGAGGCAACGGGAGGGGCCGGCTCGCGGGCCCCGAAAGTGCCGCGACGAGGCGACGGGAGGGACCTGCGTGCAGGCCCCCAAAACGCCTCGACGAGGCGACGGTCGGGGCCAGTGCGCGGGCCCCTAAGATGCCGCGACGAGGTAGGAACCCGCCGCGCGCCTCGGGGCGCACGGCGGGCAGAAAACCGCCACGCGCTCCGAGCGCGTGGCGGGAAGAAAAATGGGATGTCGCGCGCCACGGGGCGCGCGACACACAGTAGGGCAGCGGAATCGAGTGGGCCCACAGGCCAGGAACGTTAAGCTCTGATAACATGACAAAATACTAGCGTGAGTTTGGCTTAGGAGCCATAGTTTAGGAGCCTTGGTAGTTGAGTTCGAGTTTAGGAAAAGTATCGAGAGGTTTGGAAGGAGAGGAATGGGGTTTCACTAGCAAGAGTTGGGATACAAGTACAACACCCTAAATTGGGTTGTACTCATTACAGAGTACCCCACTGCAGGCTAGACAGCAAATACATTCTGACAAAATGTTGAGTGAGTCGTTTGAAATAGAGAAACGTGGGTGGAGGGAAATGAGCTCCAACCCACGGTTTTTGTAGTTGGAGAAGGGCGTTTAGCGCGCTTCAACGATGCCAATTGTGCAGTACAAGCAGCTTCGCTTTCACAATACACAATTTTAAAAAACACAATGTGTGTTTAAAAATTTTAATATTTATGAACCCTCGCCATTCTAGACTCGGGCTTTAAGCTATCAATGAATAGCTAGGCTGAGCATTTTCTAAGCACACTACCAGTTCAACCTGTAAATTTAACAGTACCTACTTAGTAAAGAAATATCCATCAGGAATTAGCAACAGAGGCAGTGTAATGCAACGAAATCCCTGGAATAAACTACAAGGCATATCAGTTGAGTATCCATCCTCACTGCCCAGTCAATAAACTGTCCCTCCCAAAATAAATACCGTAGCTGTCGCTTACCTACCGTATAAGCATCTAATGTATCCCCAGATATGACAGAGCAAAGGGCGACATAGACAAGACAAAAAAAAAAAAAAAAAAAACCCTGCTCACACCTACCGTACCATTCCCAAGCCCTTGCTACAGACGAGCATAATTCCATCCCTTTCCCTCTGCACCCTCTCCCTCTATTTCTCCCTCTCCCTCCCCACATTCCACATAACTTTCCTTCTCCCACCCACCCCAAATCCCTCCCCCTCATTGCTCCCTCCCGTGCTTTCTAGATTTCACCTTGCTCTTCCACTCTCACCTCTTGGTACGGTACTTACCCCGCCCTGCAAGCTCGGGCAAACCAGCTACGACAACAAGGGAAATAATGATAATGCTCCTCAACCAACCTACCTATCCTCAGTCACATGCCTCGGCAGTTGACTTGACCCACCCCTGATTCTGAGCACCGCACCACCGCACTGCACCCCTCTCCCCCGATGATTTCTGCGACCAATAAACCATGCACCATACACCCCAAAAACCTCCACCCTGCCATGCGCACTCCTTCCTTCCCACCGCTTCTCCCATACTGCTACTTAGCAAGCCCATAAGCCTCTTCATCTGCAGTAAAACAATATCGTTTGAATCAGAGTGCACCCTCACTGATCCCATTCAGAATCTTGAGGAGCCCAAACTTGAAGAGCCCATGCTTGAGGAGCCCATGCCCATACTTCAGTCAAACACCTCGAACAGCTGTCAGTATGCCCCATCAGCATGAAGCAAGCTGACCAACCGCCGACCCTGCTTATCATCTGCATCATATCTCGAGATACGATGGCACTGCTCATCTTATCTCCTCCTGTCCCGTCCCGTGTCCCGTCTCATCTCGTCTCGTCTCGTCTCGTCTCGTCTCGTCTCGTCTCGTCTCGTCTCGCCTCGCCTCATCCCGTTCCGTCAATTATCACGCCGATTCTGCTGATCTCGAATCGTGGCATCGAATCAAACCCCCCACCACACGCATCCAACCCTGCTGTATCTTCTACTGCTTCTCCTCTCCTCCGCCTCCACCTCTTCTGTCTCCCCCCCCTGTCTCCTCCTTTCTCCTTGTCCTACCGTCTTCTGTCCTCACGTTATCTCCTATCTTGGAGCCATTTTTTAGAGTTCTCAAAAGTGAATCTTTCACGTTATCTTCTCCTCACCTTGCAACCTCACCTCACCTCACCCCACCTGCCTCAACACCTTCCTGCCTACCCAAACGCCTTTCTTTTCTCCCTATACCTGATACCAGTACATGTGTACCATCTCAGTACCTTACCCAACACCCTGTTTCAACAGTGCTTCACAATTCCTTCCCCCTTTCTCTCCATCCCTCCCCCCCTCCCCTATCCCTCCTCTCCCCTCACCCACTTTCCCTCCCCCCATCCCCCCCCCACCTTCCCCCCTACACCCAAGCACACACACTTACACACACATCACATGCTTCTCACTTGCCTTTAAACAGCCCTCAGGACCGCTAACCTCGCCTCCCTTTGAGGTGACTTTTGAGTCGACTCAAAAGTCACTTCGTTACAATGGCAAACGATGCTTCTCACTCGCCTTTGATCAGCCGTCAGGACCGCTAACCTCGCCTCCCTTTTGAGTAGACTCAAAAGTCACCACCTTACACACACATTACATGCTTCTCACTTGCCTTTTAACAGCCCTCAGGACCGCTAACCTCGCTTCTCTTCTCCAGACCCCCCCCGTCAACCGCAGTGCGCCCTCCTCTCCCTAAAACAGCACGAGTTGATGAGAGTAAGGCCGCTGAAGCTGCAGCCCAGCCCACCTGTCCGTTACTGACACTTCCCTTTACCCGCAGTGCGCCCTCATCCCTATCCTTTCCCTCTCCGTCCCAACCTGGTGCTTCTCTCCCTCCCCTCCCCGCCCCTTCACTCCTCACTCCCTCCATCCACCCCTCCTCCTCCACCACCACCACCACCACCACCACCACCACCACCACCACCACCACCACCACCACCACCACCACCACCACCACCACCACCACCACCACCACCACCACCACCACCACCACCACCACCACCACCACCACCACCACCACCACCACCACCACCACCACCACCACCACCACCACCACCACCACCACCACCACCACCACCACCACCACCACCACCACCACCACTACTACTGCCCGCAACCCCCCCTCCTGCTCCTCCTCCCCCTCCCCCGCCCCCTCCTGCTCCCCCTCCCGCTCCGCCTCTCCTCCCCCCTTTCCCCTTCTATCCCCAAGCCGCTCCTGCAGCTGCTCCACCTTCGCCACCAGCTGCACATTATGCTTCTCCAGCGCCCGGCACCGCTGCCTCAGCGAGTGAATATACGCCACCGCGTCTTCAATCATCGACGCCGTGTCCAACCTCCCTTCAGCCTTCGGCATCGCGTCCTTCACTCGTCACTCCCACCTCCACCACCACCACCACTACTCCCACCACCAACACCACTACTACTACCCGCTCCTCCTGCTCCTGCTCCTCCTCCTCCACCTCCCCCTCCCGCTCCCCCTCCCCCCTCCCCCTCCCCCTCCCCCTCCCGCCGATCCTCTCTCCCCAAGCCTCTCCTGCAGCTGCTCCACCTTCGCCACCAGCTGCACATTATGCTTCTCCAGCGCCCGGCACCGCTGCCTCAGCGAGTGAATATACGCCACCGCGTCTTCAATCATAGACGCCGTGTCCAACCTCCCTTCCGCCTTCGGCATCGCATCCTTCAGCTGCTGCAGCCTTACCGAGATCTTCTCACGGCGTTTCCTCTCGGCCACGCTCCGGGGCTTCGTGGAGTGGCGCTGCCTGTGGGGGTTCAGCATACGGGCTTCCTCTAGCATGGCGTCTGCTCCGTCTACCCCTAGAAGCTCTGGCGGTGTGAGCATGCCCGTTTCCATGTCCCCATATGCGTTCCCCATGTCTTCGTTATCTGAGTAGTCTTCATCTTGTAGCCCCATCATCCCCCCTCCGCCTCCGCCTCCTCCTCCTCCTCCTCCTCCTCCTCCTCCTCCTCCTCCTCCTCCTCCTCCTCCTCCTCCTCCTCCTCCTCCTCCTCCTCCTGCTCCTCCTCCTCCCTCCCCGCCTTCCCCCACCTCCTCCCCTGCGTAAGCCCAGCTCGCCCCAGCGCCTCCGCCTCCGCCTCCGCCTCCCGTTCCCCCTGCCCCGCTCCCCCCACTCAACCCCGACCCCCGCCTCCCCAACTTCCCCCGCGCATTCCCCCCGCGCGCCATCGCCCCCGCTCCTCCCCCTGCAGCGCCTCCCTTCCCCCCAACGCCCCCGGAAACAATCCTGCTTGCGCCCATCCCCATGCCACTGGCGGAAGCCGCCACAGCAGCGCTCATACGTTCAGTATCCGGTGAAGAAAGGCGCACAGGGGAAGACAGCCCGCTTCCGCCTCCCCCCATCCCATTAGCCCCTTCCCCCCCGCCAGGGAACCCCCCTGCGTTGCCCCCGGACCCAGCAGCTGCAGCAGCAGCCGCTACAATAGCAGCAGCAGCAGCATTAGGCGAACCTCCGCTCACAAACGGACGGAAATTTCCCATGCCTAGTCGCGCCATTTCCCCTGTCAGACCAGGAACCTGCCCGGTGGACACAAGTTTCAGGTTCCTGCCCGGACTCAGCTGCCCTTCTGCCCGTGGACTCTTATTCGCAGGGGCATTCAGCCATTTACCCACCCCGCCTCCTAGGGACCCTGCAAGACTGCTTTCCGGTTCTCTTTTCCCCTTAGGACTGCGGTTATCCTGCGCAGAGCCAATAGAGCCACTATTAGGGGGATATCCCGGCAAATCCGGCAGGCCTCGACGGGACCTAAGTGACTGGAATGATCCCGGGTCTCCCCCTCCCCCCTGCCCTGCGCCCGTTCCCCCCCCCACCCCCGCCAGAAGCATCGCGGCGGCCTCTGAAAAATCACCTGCGCCTCCGCCTGCCATTCCGCCACCCGCCATTCCGCCACCTCCTCCCATGCTGGCACTGCCACCGGACACGCTAGCACCGGCGCGGGGAATGAGGTACGAACCGGGGGAGGCGGACGTGTAATGCTGCTGCCCGTGCTGCCCGTGTTGGGACGCCATGCGAAGTCCAGAGAGCGGGCTGTTGCTGCGGCTGCTGTTGCCGCTGCTAATCCCATCAAACTGCAACGCCGCGGATCCCAGGGAAAGCGCGCGCCGGTGGTGCGACCCTCCTGCTCCCCCTCCCCCGCCTCCTGCTGCCGCGGCGGCTGCTGCGGCGGCTGCGGCGGCCGCCCCGCCCCCGAGTACATGCCTCGGAGCTCCTCTCGTATACCCCCCCAGGTTGCTGGCACCTGGGAGTCGTCTGGTAGAGCCAGATGTGAAGAGACCGGGTGCCCCGGCCGCAGCTGCTGCTGCTGCTGCTGACCCTGGGCCAGGTTTAAAGCCCATCCCCCCTCCTCCTCCTACCCCGCCTGCTCCGTTTCCTTCCCCTTCCATCACTCTCTCTAGCGCCAGGGCGATCTGGGCAGGGGGGATCCAGTTCGGCGGGTGTGGCGGCTTTTGAAGCTGCGATTGCTGCTGCTGTTGCTGCTGCTGCAGGTGCATCTGCAGTTGCTGCTGCAGCTGTTGCTGCAACTGCTGCTGCAGCTGCTGCTGTAGCTTCTCCTTCTCCTGCTGCAACCGCTGCTGCTGAAGCATCTGCTGCAACATATAGTTTGATCCCCCAGCTCCCGCACTTCCCCCTCCGCCTCCCCCACCTCCAGCTGCTGCCGCCGCCGCAAGCACAGCTGCCATTCCCCCTGCGCCTCCCTCCCCCGTTTCCCCCGAGAGCGCCGCCAACTGCGCTATCGGATCCATTGATCCTAAGCCGCCGCCCATCTGTCCCAGTCCTTCCGCCTCTCCCCCGCCTCCCCCGGGCCCCCCTCCGCCCATATCTCCCCCTCCGCGATCCCTCTGGAGTAGCTCCATGATCACCTTAACGTCTAATCCGCCCTGCTGTAACGCGGATAATCCGGACAGCGCGGAAAGCCCCGCCAGTCCTGATCCCGCCGCGCCGCCGGCTAACTCCATCCCCTGACCTCCCATGCCGCCCGCTGCAGCAACGGCAGCGGACGGCGGGACATTTGGCGCCGAATCCGCTGCTTGCCCTCCCCCTCCTCCTGCTCCCCACCCTTCTGTTCCCCCTGCACCGAAACCCCCAACTCCTCCGACTCCCCCCCGGCCCCCGCCCCCGCTCTTCCACCCGCCGCCATCTTCCCCCATTTTCTCCCCCAGCCCCCCAGGGCTAGCGCCAGCGCCGTCCGGGCCCCCTCCGCCCCCCAGCCTCCCCATGCTCCCCGCTCCGCCAATCCCCCCCCCACTTGCCATATCCACGTTCACCCCCAGCATATCCCAAAGCTCGCTCGCTTGCTCCAGTTCCCGCTGCTGCCGTCCGGGGCTGATCATTGACGGGTGATTCGGCGAAATGTGCGAACTAGGCGAAACGTTCGAGTTGGGCGAAATGTTTTGGAAAAGCGCGTCCGCGGAAAGCCCCCCTCCCCCCGAGCTCTGCGCCTGCGCCTGCAGCTGCAGCTGCTGCCCGAACTGCTGCAGCTGGGAGGCGGAAAAAGCCCCCTGCAGTTCCGCCGAGTCTAGCGCGGGGGAGGTGTTGGGGGAAGTCAGTCCGCCTCCGCCCCCGCCTCCGCCTACGCTTGCGCCTCCGCCCGGCCCACCTCCGGCACTTCCCCCCGCGCCTCCCGAATAGCTTCCGCTGGCTGCTGCCATAGCGACGCTGTCGCACGAGTCTGTTTGCATGCTCATCGTCGCTCGCTTGTCGACGAAACGTGGGCGATCGGCGAAAGCGTCGCGAGAGCGACTTCGCGAAAGTGACTAACGAAGAAAAAGCCGCTCGCGAAAGTACGGACGCGATCAATTGCCGGAAAACGATTTCGATGAAAGAGGCGGCGTGCCGCAAGCGACAGGGAAAATACAGGTTATGCACTAAGAGAGGCGAGGCTTCTTAAAAGATTCAGTCGTGTCTCGAGAGCATGTCTAACGGTTTGCGGATATTAGTTAGTGCGGAAGAATGCGGAGAAGGGATCACTCGCGAAAGGCGAGTGTATTATATATAATAGGACGGCCGGCGCAATGGGATAAACCCTACACGGGATAAGGGACTGTATGAGATCTGCTGCCACCACCGCCGTTACTCTTGCCCTACGAAAAATATCCAACAGAGAGAGGACGACAGAGAGAGGGAGAAAAAAACGGAAAGCCGCGCAGTAACAAACGGATCGATAGGATAGGTAAAGGATACCGGAATGGATGGGGAAACTAGACAGCGGCGGCAAGGTGTCAGGACGGCCGTCAAGGGAGACGGATTCGGGATGGCGGTCTACATAGGTGAAGGTGCCATGGCTGAGAGTTGAGATCGAATAGAAGGTGTTTTAAGGATTTCTCAACGAGGGCGTTAAGAGGCTGGGCGGGGAGAAAGAGGTGATTTCGCGTGTTGATAGTAGTCAAACCGATCTGCATTGGAAAACGGAGGAGAGGAAAAGAGGAGGGAGCGTGAGGGACGGAGATACGGGAACGGAGATGGGAAAGGGGGAAAGGGGGGTGAGAGGAGGGGGTAGAAGAGGAAACGAAAGCGGGGAGGGAAGCGAGGGAGGATAGGATAGTTATTTGAGACGGCAGGAACAAGAGGTGCGAAACGGTAACAAGAAGCACCTGACCTAAAATGCGGCAGGGAAGGGACTACGTAAGTTACAAGCTCTAATCTTCATTCATCTGAACGAGATGTGGGAGTGTTTTAAGGGAAGTTAGAAGAATTGAATAAAAAGAAGAAGAAAAATTATGGGTTACATAGCACGTTAGCGCGAAGACGACGGGCTTCCCCGAATAAACCGAGAATACTCAAAGGTGAAGCCTCTATCGAGACACTCAACGATCACAGGCTGCTTCGCTAAGCTACGCACCTTGATTTCCGGTCAAAGACGACCAAGACGAGCTGCGCTGCATCCCAGCGACACGACCAATTTCGGAGAACGGCAAGACCGTTTTGTTTTCGATTTGACTGTTAGAGGAAGCATAGATAGACTTACTCAACCGGTTTCCCGCATTCTGCGTAACTGTCTGATAAGTGAAACATTCGTGAAACGACTTGGAAGCTCTGGATAACTCGACGAGCTTCTCGCCTGCCAAACACGATTCCGTTGACTGCATTCGTCGATGACAGACAGGTTCAGCACAGAGGACCTGTTCGATACAGGTTCAGCTCAGCACAGAAGGTGGCGAGCGAGGAGAGCCTGAAGCGAAAGGTAAGGGTTTGGAATTGAACAACAGAAGGTTCTAGAGCGTGTTCAATAGGTTCCAGGCTTGTACTTCCTAGTCATTGGCTGAATGTAGGATGAGAAATTGCACTTATAGTGAACTGAAATGAGCGGAGGTTGTATTTTCCCCCTTTTAGCTTCAGGTCACCAGGAGTCACGTGAAATGGAAAGCTAAGAGCAGATGGGTAACACCTTCTTGACCGACGATAGATATGGCTGCGTTCTAAGCGACGCTGGCGAACTGTTACATTGTTCGACATGGACTCGTGAATTTGTCGTGAATACTCTGCCGTCGCGAATCTGGAACTGCAGCATTTCTAGGCACTTGTTTTCGCGAAATTACAGGGAAACACTAAACTCGCTACATCCATGCCGAGGCGTTCGCAGTCGCCAAAGTAGGCCCGAAAGTGGCAGGAAAGGGTTTGACGCTTGCCAAGTAACCTCGTGAAATATTCGAGGAAAACCTTATCTGATCGGGCGGCGCGAGCTATTCAAACAAAGGCAACCCGATCAGATCAGCCCCGACCAGATCACAGCCGACCAGAGGCGAACCGAGACACGTCCTTAGTTTTGATCAAACATGTGAGGATGATGAAGTCACAGGCGGCACGAGGATGTTCAAACAGTACAGCTGAAAACGCCTTCCAAAATGTTTGTTTGTTTCCGGATCCACTTACTCGAAAACACGTGGCATCATACTGACATATACTGTAAATGAGGGAGAAGGGAGATGGAGAATGAAAGGAGAAGGAAAAGTAAAACTGCCACCAAATCCCGAATGCACACATGAAAAACCCCCTCAAGATACACCGCTATTTTCAACCCCGAACCTCTGCACTGTTCTCGCGTTTCGAAGATACCCTGCACGCATTCGACTATTTCAGTTGGGCACTTGATCAACATGGGCTATGAAGCTCCCAGTTTTGCTGGTTCGAGAAGGTGGGCATATGAGGGTGGGCTCTAGAAGAGCTGCAAAAACAAGTTGAACTCGCCCTAGACAACTAAGCTACAGTTGCCGAATCTCTACAAATCCGTCTAGATTGGCTGCAAAATCCGATCAATTTCTGATCTACAACTTGATTGGACCAACGAACCTTTGACAAGTGAGGCTGCAGCATTAGCGCGGATCAGGAATGCCGCAGGCGGCTACACTTATCCCGCGGTAATTTTACCGCCCGAACTTACATCATATAGTGCGTTCTCGTGTAATGAGACGGGAACCCAGAGATTGCGGGACTAACAGTACACAGCCAGGATGCAATTCAGTCGATTGAACTCGTACTTAGTGACACGAGAGAGGGGCGGGTTTAGCTTTACAAAGCCCTACTTTCCGTTATCTAGCGAGAAAATGCATATTTCTACCCCCTATAAGTTTGTAACTACCTTCATATACCAGCTCGACCCAGAAAAGTACCCCCAGGTCGTGAAGATAGCGCGGGTTACTGTAATCGAACCGAATCCTTCTGATTCGCTTGCATGAACTGCTCCACAAATGATACCGTACAGTGTTGGAAATCAGCAGCAACAATAGAGAGAGAGAGAGAGAGAGAGAGAGAGAGAGAGAGAGAGAGAGAGAGAGAGAGAGAGAGAGAGAGAGAGAGAGAGAGAGAGAGAGAGAGAGAGAGAGAGAGAGAGAGAGAGAGGAGAGAGAGAGAGAGAGAGAGAGAGAGAGAGAGAGAGAGAGAGAGAGAGAGAGAGAGAGAGAGAGAGAGAGAGAGAGAGAGAGAGAGAGAGAGAGAGAGAGAGAGAGAGAGAGAGAGAGAGAGAGAGAGAGAGAGAGAGAGAGAGAGAGAGAGAGAGAGAGAGAGAGAGAGAGAGAGAGAGAGAGAGAGAGAGAGAGAGAGAGAGAGAGAGAGAGAGAGAGAGAGAGAGAGAGAGAAGAGAGAGAGAGAGAGAGAGAGAGAGAGAGAGAGAGAGAGAGAGAGAGAGAGAGAGAGAGAGAGAGAGAGAGAGAGAGAGAGAGAGAGAGAGAGAGAGAGAGAGAGAGAGAGAGAGAGAGAGAGAGAGAGAGAGAGAGAGAGAGAGAGAGAGAGAGAGAGAGAGAGAGAGAGAGAGAGAGAGAGAGAGAGAGAGAGAGAGAGAGAGAGAGAGAGAGAGAGAGAGAGAGAGAGAGAGAGAGGAGAGAGAGAGAGAGAGAGAGAGAGAGAGAGAGAGAGAGAGAGAGAGAGAGAGAGAGAGAGAGAGAGAGGAGAGAGAGAGAGAGAGAGAGAGAGAGAGAGAGAGAGAGAGAGAGAGAGAGAGAGAGAGAGAGAGAGAGAGAGAGAGAGAGAGAGAGAGAGAGAGAGAGAGAGAGAGAGAGAGAGAGAGAGAGAGAGAGAGAGAGAGAGAGAGAGAGAGAGAGAGAGAGAGAGAGAGAGAGAGAGAGAGAGAGAGAGAGAGAGAGAGAGAAAAAGAACTAGCCAAACAAAAGAACCGCTACTTCCTGTCTTCCCACCTCGCACACACACCATGCATAATCTTTGGAGTCGAAACCTAACACCCATCCCCACATGCACCGCACATATCCCTTCCCTTCCACAACACAGCAAACATCCTTTAACCACAGCCTCTGCCCACTTCCCAGTCCCGGCACGTGCCTATCGGGGGAAAAAAGAAGAAAAAGAGAACCATTCGTGCTTCGCAGTCCCTCCGTCCCAACGTTTTCGCCTTAACATTCTTCTGTTAGCCAGTAACAGCATCAGGAGGACCAGATGCAACCACAGCAGCATCAGCTGCAGCATCCACAGAATTACCATAACCAGGAGCAAAGGCAGCTGTAACAGCAGATCTAGCCGCAGCAGCAGCAATGTCGGCTGCGGAGAGCAACGAGGCCAGACCTGCAGCCTCGTCGTGAAAACACCAGCCTTCATCCTTGCCTGCTTCCCCCTGTGGTGGTGATAGCACTTGTTGCGGTGGTGGTGGTGGTGCTGCTGCTGCCGGTGGTGGCGAGGGTGATGGAGAAGGTACCTGGGCTGCTAACAGTGAAACCGTTTGTTCATTAGTCCCATCTACTCCACTACTTGGAATGGGGTCTGCTGCTGCTGCTGCTCTTGCTTCTGCTGCTGGTGCTGCTTCCCCTGACTTGATTACAACTCAAGGTGTTGGGACGGGTATTATTCAAAAGAGACGTAGAGGCAGTTATGGGAGGGCCAGGACTGTTTGCCCTGTAGCAAGCCAGCATCACAGCAGCGGCTGCGGGAACAGCAGAGGGAGCAGCTTCAATGGCAGCAGCTGCAGCAGCAGCAGCAGCAGCAGCAGCAGCAGCAGCAGCAGCAGCAGGAGCAGGAGCAGGAGCAGGAGCAGCGGCAGCATCAGGAGAAGGAATTGCGGAAGGAACGGCAGGGGTGGCATGTGCAGAAAGAGCCTTAGTGAAATCCAGGCATCTGATTGTGGCACTCCCTTCCTCTGCTTCTTCTTCTTGAGGTGCCTCAAAAGGTGCCTCAAGAGGTGCCTCAAAAGGTGCCTCAAAAGGTGCCTCAAAGGGTGCCTCAAAAGCAGAGCCCGGGCATCTAACATCCACGCTCTCTGCCTCTCCCCCTTGCTGAGCAGAGGGATTCGCAGCCGTGCTGTTGCGGTGGCGTTTAAGAATTCCAAGAGCGTTTCGCGGGGAAGTAGGTGCAGCGGCAGCAGCTGAGTCGACTAGAGCAGGCACCACTGAGGACAGAGGGGACACAGGAAGTTCTGTCATCACTGACTCAACTGGCAGCGCTGGCACCACAGGCACTCGGAGGAAGCATGGATTCTGAGTTAATTTCAATGACTTACGCTTTTGAGTCGACCCGAACAAGGTGGCATGCGGGGGGACAATTGAAGCAGGCACCTCCGGAGCAGGGAGGGTGGACGGTGCAGCAATAACTGGCAGGCATTCGGCCGTATGACCTTTCCGTATTGACGCTGCTGCTGCTTCTGCTGTTGCTTCTGCTGTTGCTGCTGCTTTCGCTGCGGCGGCGGCAGCTGCGGCTGCTCTTGTTGCTCTTGTCGAAACTCTGCTGAAAGTTCCTGTCTTTTCAGCTTTCTCCACTTTCTCCCGCTTCTGCTGCTGCTGCTGCTGCTGCTGCTGCTGCTGCTGCTGCTGCTGTTGCTGCAGTTGTAGCTGTTGCCTTTGCTGTTGCTGTA